AAAGGCAGATATTGAAATATTTAACATTGTAGTAACTAATTGAACATTTAACCAATAACAGGAGAAATTCTAAGATGCAAGCATGACCTGAATATTTTGGAGGAACTCAGGAACATGAACCTGGTCAGAAATGTACTTCCATGTTGGCAGCCTACACTAAACCAAACCTAAACTAAAGCTTGATATGGAATCCATCTCTGTTTTACAAGGAGGATTTGCACCTGTTTCTGCTGCATAATGTAAACAAAGCCAGCTCTACTTAAAGATTTTGTTCATTTCTTTGCCATTGAGGAATGCTGCATGCCCAGGTTCCAATGGTGTGTTTAGTTCTCAAATTTTGTCACGTAAAAAGAAAACAAAAAGCTGAATCTTCTGTGACTTTCTGTGAGTGACTTTGAATTGATGTTTTAATCCAGTAATTAATTTATTCGTACTCTTTCTTTTGCTGTGGTTTTCCAACTACTTTGTCTTACCTGTCAGAAAAATGAGCCTGAAGTCTCGACGTGCCTCTTGACACGTGATGATGTTCATCGTTTCTGTGTCTTGCTGTGGCTTGTAAATGTGTCTGGGGGAAAAAAAAATAAAATAAAGAACTCAAACCATGAAAAGTGCTTATTATTCTGTCATTTCCTTTAAGGATTTAAATTGTCCCAAGTGTATTTTCACAGAACCTCTAATACTTGTTTCCTCTAATACGGAACCGACTTTTTTTTCAATAAGCAAAAACACAAAGCAGCATTGTGCATCTGCAATGCTCGAATCTGGTGAGGTCAAGTTGAAACTTGGGATTTTCTCTCAGTTTACACAGTTTGAAGACATCAGTGAAGGTTTGAGTTGTTGGTGGAGAAACCCTTGTGGCAAAAACTAACACGTCTTGAGAAAACCAAGTGTTGCCCACAAGGAGTCGAGGGAGGGCACACGTGAAGTTATCACAGGGTTTCCGACTGTTAGAACTGGAGTCACGCAGAAGAAACCATGAATGGTGGGGGATGTATGAGAGACTACAAAGATCTTGAAGTGGAAAATTTTGATTCAGCCAAATTTGCTCTCAAATAGGAGATTCACCAGAACTCAACAGGACCGAAGCTGCTGCAATAAAGACACTAACAAGCCAGACTGACACATGTTGGAATCTATGCTCAGATCAGAATGATGTCAGGCAGCAGCGTAACTGGATGTGTTTGGCTTTGTCTTCAAACATGATAAAACACAATCTCTCTGAAATAAACCTCAGACTGACGACTTTCTGTTAAAATTCTCCTTTACTCTCCTTTGTTTAACTGCTCTAAGGAAAATGGTTTTATTCATGGACATTTTACTATGTTACTTTTTTTTTAAAGATTGTCTAAAAAGTCACAGTCATAGTTTACTCACCATCTGATGACCATGTTTTGGATGGTCATCACCCTAATTCTGGTCTAGACGGAGGTTTGAATCATTCTGAGTCTCTTATTATCAAGCCCAGCCCGCTTTTCTTTCCATTTATGTATTTATTTATCTGCTTTTTATCAGTTATTTTGCGTGTCAGAATTCTGGTGAACAGGGATTTTCGGATTTGCGTTTACGGAACAACATATCCTTAGAATTAGTTAGAAATTCCGGGGAACGTTTCTCTCCTGACAAGTTTCAAATGTTTTCCTTTGTGTTTATTTTTTTCTTGCTGTTTCTGTGTTTTGTTCTCTCATGTAATGGCCCTTCTTGACCAATGGGGTTCCTTGACAGCGCCCTTTTTTTTTTTTGTTCCCTACCCTTTTTGCCGGAAGCCTCCACATGGCTTAAAGCACACCTCCTTCCAGCTCTGCGCAGTCAGTGCCGCAGTCAGTGCCGCAGCCGCTCAGCTGACACCCCCTGCCAGGCGGAGGACAGGCGGACGGATATGTCGGCTTTGCGCTCCCACGCGAGGATTTCGGACTTCAGGAGAGCGCTGATGCATGCAGGAGTCCTCTTGAATCAACAGGTTGATGCTTTTCTAATCTTTGCGCGCAGGTGGGAATGACTTCCAATTCAGAACTTTTTATATTTTTGTCCTTTTTTTGTGCGCAAATTCGGAGTGTATTTTGTTTTTTATTCAACTTAAAATGATCCGATTTTTTTTCTATATATATATATTTGGATTATACTCCAGGGGGCGCGTAAAATCTTGGAGACGGAGTAAACTTTGTCTCGCCAAGCTTCAAGTTTGACGTGGATCTCGCTGTTCCACCTTTTGCTTTTTACTCCGCTCTAAAATGTCGCTCAGTTTGAATCCTCCTGATTGTTTTCTTTTTGAAGATGAATCTGGATCCTTTCTGGGGGGCGGGGAACCTTCAGCGCTTTGCTTCTCTTCAACGTGGGTCCCGAAGGAAGGCAAGATGTTGGCATAGCTGTTGAACTCTGAGGCCTGCTATGCCAACAACTTGCCATCTTTCTCTCCCCTTTGCAGCCAAACCCCACGAGATTTCCTGGCTGAAGGTGCAGCCAGAACCAGCTCTATCGGTTCACTCCACCGTGTGATGCAGGCTGTGTCATGTGAATTTGAATGAATTTAGTTTTAGTTCAATATTATCCCAATTTGCAGCCACGTTTGAATTGTTCAAGTAAGCCACAGAGAAACGAGTGTCCCAGATATTACAATAGTCCTAAATTATTTAAACAAAAGAAGGTAAGCACACTTATCAATTTATCTGTCTGTCATCCTATCATAGGATAAAGTCATTTGTTTTTATCAGTACAAGTTAATAAGACGTAGCAACAGGTTTTTTTTTAACTTTATCTTAACCTCAAATCTTATCTTGACAACATATTTTCCCCCATTGAATAGTAATATACAAAAAATTTAAAATTGTTTTTGTTGTTGTTTTGTTTTTTATTATTATTATTATTATTATTATTATTATTGTGCTTTTATTGATTTATTTATGGTTCCAGAGAGTGTTAACCTTAGAGTATCACACCGAAAGCTATAAAATAATAATGATTTTTGTCTTTTTTAGGCAAAATATGAAATTTAGACCCAATTAAAATGTATAAATGATGAAATAGGCTAAGGTTACCTAATATACTATATGCTGAGCCCTTTGTTTCAATGGATTTTACTATTGAATCAAAGCTCATGTTACATGTTTCCCCACAGGAACTACTTCTACCATTAACGCTTCAGATTGTTTTTCAACAGAATCCTCCGGGGTCGTTGCTTCTGTGACTTTTATATGAAAGTTTTGTCTTGTCAATCTTCACTTTGAAGCAGGTTGTCTTCATTTTAAAAGGGGTTTTTCCTTTCCACAGCCATGCATGTTTGGTAAACAGGATTGATGCAAAGTTACCAAGTTGATCAACTGTCCGCTGTCACTATAATGTATATTTAAGTCTCTGTTAAAGTCTTTTTGTTTGGGCTTTTGAATCTAGGATATGCGACCCTAATAGATTTCAAGCATTTTGTGTGGCATTGTATTTTGTGTTGATTTATATGTTATTCTTGTATACAGCATTTATTGTTTTTCTTTGGTGTTTTTCTTTTTTTGGGGGGAGGAGTAAGGCTTTTAATGTTTTTTGATGTGCTTTTCAAAAAATTTACATGTGAAACTGTTTTGCCTCCTCATCAGACAGAAATGTTTAAGTATATTTGAAAGATGTATGTATTTGTGGTCGAATTGATTTCAGACGTTTGTGATAGACTATTCAGTGGAGGAAAAAATCACATCATTAAACATATTACTCAATATAAATTGGCTTTTAACCAACCACAACAGTAAAAATCTGCTGTTACATCAAAATAAACTGTTTATTCGCTCTATTAGGCTTGTAAGTGCATGTTCGTGGGTACAAATGTTCACTTTTACTAAACAATTCTCAACCCAAGAAATATTTAGCAACAATTATCTGCTAAATATATATATATAAAAAGACATTGTTGCTTAGAATAGATTTGTACAATGCATAGGGATTTAAAAAGTCAAATTTTCAATTTCAAAAGGCTACATGACGACTATGAATGGCTGGTTTGAAACTGACATTAAAGATGAATGTGAACGTCCATCGGTGTGTTATGACCTGTTATGTGACAATTTTAGGTACTCAAATGATGAACTAAAAGAACAAAACCATATTGTATCAAAAGTGAAAATATATATATATATTTTTTTTTAACTGGATGTGTGAATACTGAAATATCCAGAGATAGCATGTTAAATGTTAACCTGAAAAAGAACAGAGCGGTTGCATCTTTGGAAGAGTTGCCAAGAGAATGTTCTTCTCTCTAAATTTAACATGGCTGCACAACTTTTGCAAAGTTGCATCTGAATGAACAACAATCTAATTTGTACTTTTTTTCGGAAATTAGATCAGTTTGGTCATACTTTCCAGAGCAATGAAAAACCAAGTTGATTTGTACAGGACATTTTAGTAACAGGGCACATAACAGAAAAACAAACAAACAAACAATAAAACAACAAACAAGCAACAGTGGCAAAATAAAGCAAAGTGATGAAAAGTTCAATAATTGACTGCAATTTATAATGCTTCAGTTACTATTAATTGAAGGACTGAATCAGTGTTTCAACACAGACAACCAAATGCTCTCAGTGTTGAAACACTGATGATTTGGGCTTGTTTTACAAGCGTCTTGGAGCCTCTGAGTCTACTAAGTCCCTTGTATAACCAAGGTATTCGAAAATAATATAAGGCAGCCTGACAGCTAACTCTCAAATAGCCCAGTCTATATCCAGATTTCAAATCTGACATGCTGTCAAGACCTTCAGACTAATAAAAATGTTCTTATGTTGTTTCATCATAGGATTTAGATAGTTTTTACCATGACTTGCAACTGTCCCATCACTGTTCTGTGAATGTATTTTTTATTTATTTTTGTTTAATTGCAACGTTTTCATTACAAATAATGAGTCAAAATACGAATCTATTTCTAATCTATTTTTTAAGTAAAAATGTGAAAATAAAATACTATTTTAAAGTCGCAATTAAAGTCTCTCTCCTTTTCTGCTCTGGCAGACAAACTTTGATCACGTGATCTGCGCGCTGACGTCATGTGACAGCCTGTCGCAGTTCAGCGCTCTGCTTTTTCAACCTTTATCCGCCACGGTACAAAGTTACACATGTTCCTCTGCTGCATGAGGTTGTGAGGAGGTTTGTTTCACATCGCGGTTTGTTTGAAGACGGTTTTTAGGAAGAAGAAGCGATAAGGCCATTGTTCAGAGTGACCAAAGTGAGGATTCACGGGGGGAGACGTTAGCTTAGCAAACACCGGCTGTTAGCCCCGCTGCTGACCCAAACATGAGGCAGCCGCCTGCAAAACTGTAACCAGCAGTCTGACGCCTCTGCTCAGGATATGCTTGATCTGCATGCACAACTGCGGGTAAGTTGCTCAATACAATAGAGATACATACGGGGAAGCTGCGTGTGTTATCTTGAAATGCTATTTGAAGCAGAAAACGTGGAAGATTTGCAATTATTTTTCTGCGAAATCTAAAGAGTGTTGTGTTCAGTGTAATTTGAAAGCAGTAGGATATGCGTGTGAACACCAGTTTCCATCTGACTCAGATTCTCAGTTGGATTTGCACAACATTGTTTATTCGGTGCTGGTTCATTTTACTGCCATAATCTTTCAGGATTTTTCTGTTTTTGGGGTTTTTATTTTTTAGTGGTGCACTGCCTTATTGGCGATTTCCTTAATTTTGGGAGATTGGTGATCGCTGATACTTGCATGTCAAGGTCTAAAAACCAACCACTGCCCTCTTCTGCTCTCATCAGAGAGGTTTGACTGACAGGCCCATCCACCAGGTCATGTCTGCAACCTTACACAGACAGCAATAGTCACCACGTTGTTGCCTACTCGGCAACATTTCGGACAAAAAAAATTGGCGTTGGCCAGCATTTTAATTGACAGATCAGGCTTTTTAAAGATCAGTGATCAGCGATTGTCCAGAAAACTGCAATCAGTGAATGCAAGTGAATGTAGATGTAAAGACGAAGGTCAGTGATTTCTTTTAAGTATGTAGGAAATGTTTTATTAGAGAAAACATCAGTTTTGTGCGTCATACGAAATACAAAAGAAAACCAAGATATAAAATGGGAGAGACTGATGTCAGGTCATGTGTTCAGCAGGGATGAACAGCGAAAACATCACCCTCTGCGAGAAAACCGTCTCGTCTTCCTACATCCGCCAGGGCTCTCAGGCTCGCCGTGGCCACGAACAGCTCATCAGACATTTACTGGACCAGGTTGGGTTCGATACATTTGCTTTGCTTTGGTGCAGAGGTATCGTCTTCTCACGTTGTGCTTTTACAGGGTAAGTGCCCGGAGGAAGGATGGAGCGAAAGCACTGTAGAGCTCTTCCTAAACGAGCTGGCCGTGATGGACAGCAACAACTTCCTGGGCAACTGCGGTGTCGGAGAGAGGGAGGGCCGCGTGGCGTCCAGCCTGGTGGCGAGGAGACATTACAGGTTCAGATCGCTTTCGTAACTGACCAAACGTTCATCTTGAGAATGATTGTTGTGGATACTTTGGAAGATGTGAGGTGAAAATGATTTTGAGTACAGTTTTTCCTGCTCATTTTCATTACTGATAGAACAGTAATGAAAAATCCTGCAGTTCTCAGCTCATTCTATAAAGCCAGGACATAGAATATCCTTGGGTGAGGAGTGTAAAGACCTAGCTGTCTCAAATCAGTCCTGCCTAGGTTACCGCATGTGTATTTTGATGTTAATTTAATGTTTTTCTGATCCCTGACAGAAAATATTTCTAAATAAATACCCAGATCTTACTATTCTTCAGATCTGATGCCTCTTGACTTTTTTTTTTTTGTATATTTATATGTATGTTCATAGTGCTAAAAAGTCTGACTCCAGAACAGAGCAGCACCTCTGCAACAGGATAAGTTTTAGTGAATTTAACCGCCACTGCTGTTTTGTTTAGGCTGATCCATGGCATTGGTCGGTCGGGTGACATCGCTGCCGTTCAGCCCAAAGCTGCAGGATCCAGTCTGCTCAACAAGCTCACAAACTCTGTTGTTCTGGACATCTTGAAGATTTCAGGTGAGAACGCTGCAGGTTCGTTGAAAAATGTCAGCCTGCGAGGTAAAACATAAAAAAAAAAAAAAAAGTTCAATTAAAAATGTTGCATAGACTACCGATAATGTTTTTTCTAGCCTTATAAATACATTTAAATGGTTTTACCATGAACACTTTTGCTCTTACCATGAAACTCCAGAATGTAACAAAGTCTAAAAGTGTCTGGTTTGTAAAGTCTCGTCTTGCTCTATTCCAGGTGTTCGCAGTGTGGCAAGCTGCTTTGTTGTTCCCATGGCAACAGGAATGAGCCTGACCCTGTGCTTCCTGACCCTCCGTCACCGCAGACCCAAGGCCCGCTACATCATCTGGCCTCGCATCGACCAGAAGTCATGTTTCAAATCCATGATCACAGCAGGTCAGCGTTCAAAATCCACGGCATCCTGACCTCCTTTTAATGAATGAGTCCTTTTGAAAAGTTCCTATTTACTTTACAGAGTATCTTTGATTTCGGTTTCCCCTCGTTATTTTTAAACGCTGCTTCTGCTCCATGTTTATCTTAGGACAGAGTTCCTTTCTAATGACAGATGGCTCCTGTTTTCAGGATTTGAACCCATAGTTGTGGAGAATGTCTTGGAGGGGGACGAGCTGCGAACGGACCTAGAAGCGGTTCAACGCAAGATCGATGACCTTGGAGCAGAAAACATCCTGTGCGTTCATTCGACAACGTCTTGCTTCGCTCCACGGGTCCCCGACAGGTTAATGAAAGATTTCACCATTCTGTCAAACTTCTGCAGCATTTCAGTTCTTTTCAGAGTTTGGATCAAGAAAGCGCTGCTTGTTTATGTTTTTGTCTCGTTCTGTCTTCCAGGCTTGAAGAACTGGCCATTATGTGTGCCAAACATGACATCCCTCACATTGTTAACAATGCGTACGGAGTGCAGTCGTCCAAATGCATGCATCTTATCCAGCAGGTAACAGCAGCTAAGACTTGACTGGAATAAAGCAGTTGGTAGTTTAAATACATTTGCATGAATCTCATTCTCCCTGGTGCAGTCACACTGGAGTTCCTGCTTCTTCCAGTTCACTATAGACTGGAGCCTTACTGTCTCCTGTATTGAGCCTCATCATCTTAATCAAATTATCTTCACCTCAAGATGCTATCTCTAGTCAGATGGCTGGAAATCTGATGGAGATACAAATGCACATCAAAATAATTTTTAAATTAGTAAAGCAAAACTTCAGGCTTTTTGGAAATTTAAAGATTATTCTTAAAAGGTCAAAGAAGCCGGTGATGCACATGAATTCTACAAATCCTGCTATGAAGAGCAGAGCAGTCCAGTATTCAGGCAGAGTTATGTCAGGAGTTAGTGGTTACAGAAAGTGTGTAGTTGGGATGTGAAGTATTATATATTTTAATCTGTATGTGTAATCCATAATTTTTTATACAGAATGTTTGTTGTGTCATTGTGCATTCCAAAAAAAACCAAACCCTCAACTCCATGATTAAAAGCCCAAATCTTTTAGGTTAATTTATATGTTTATGTAAACATCTGAGCTCTTTGAGCTCCACCGTTTCTAATTAGAAAGATGCATTGTTTTTGTGTCCTAAATGTCTCCTGTTTTGAACAGGGGGCTCGTGTGGGAAGAATCGATGCCTTTGTTCAGAGCTTGGACAAGAACTTCATGGTTCCAGTAGGTGGAGCCATAATCGCAGGTTTTGATGAGTCGTTTGTGCAGGAGATAAGCAAGATGTACCCAGGTGAGCAACGAACCAATCATATCTGAATCAGAACGGCCTTACAGAACCAGCTGATAAAAGAGTATTTATTTTAGAAGTGTTGTCTTTAAAAAGATGAGACTTTTCCCTTTCCTTGTTATTACTCAAATTTACAGATACATGCTCTAGTTTTTTGATAAAACCAACTTTCACGTGAAATTTAGTTTTTTATTTTTTTTCTTCTGCTCTCAAATTTCCTATCCTTGAAATCTTTCTTTTCAGGCTGGTAATATGTGGGTTCTTTTTCATCCAAACTGAAGGAGTTTCTATAAGGCAATAAAAATCAACTTCTCTGACTCTTTTGACGAAACCTAATTTTTTTTTTTCTTTTTGACATATTTCTTTGTTCTCTACACACTGGGTCAGATCTGTAATACTCTGGTCAGGTGAACATCCATAGTTCTATCTTCTGTCACTAATGATATGTATAACACGGCACATTTTGCTGTTGTCAAAAAAAAAAATTTTTCAAGCTGAGCAAGCTAATGTTAGCATCTTTACTTAGTTTCTGTAGGATTTGTTGATATTACAGGATACAGTGGGAAGGGTGGCAAAATCAATATTTGATAAAAAATACCAGTACTTGTGTTCAGTCGGAGACTGATACCAAGTATTTTATAATCACTTGATTAGTATTGATCCGTTACATGGTTATGAATAAAATCACTTGTTCAGATTTTTAATTCGACATTTTGAACATTATGCTTTTTGTTTATACATTTGACAACTAAAATATGAAATAAAGAAGTCAGCTGAAACAAAAGACTTTTTCCTTTTTAGTATCTGGCATGCCAGTCATGAATCTAAACTGATTATGGAAAGATTTTGTTTGTTTTCCAGTTTGTTTTTAACTGCCCCACAAATCTCCTTTGGTGTTCCTACATCCAGGTAGAGCGTCGGCTTCACCTTCCCTCGATGTCCTCATTACCCTTCTCACTCTGGGATCCAACGGCTACAAGAGGTACCTATCGGAGAGAAAGGTGAGAACAGACACTGACCTTTCTAAAGCTAAAAATAGCATGGCTTCTTCTTGTGTCAGGGTGGGATTTCTGCTTAGTATTTTCAGCAACAGTGCCTTGCTTTTTTACGTTTTACCATGTTAAAACCACAAACCTTTGTGTCATTTAAATTGTACGTGACAGGCCAAGGCAAAATGTCCTTCTGAAGATAAAAATCTGAAAAGTGGGACATGTGCAACCAACTTATCTCATAAGGAATTAACCTTTTAAATAGTCATTGTGTGTAATTTCATCTCAGTCTAAATCCAGCCTCAGACTTTTCTTGAGGAAAATTAGTGAACAAACATCCTATATCCCATTTCATCCCTTGTCCTGAAGCTCGGTTTCCAATGGTTATGGTGGTTTTTAGTGTACTGAAATAGTGTACTGACTAAATACTGTTTGTGTTCAAGACCAAACACTGTAGGAGGAAAAAAATGAACCTGGTCAAAGGTCATGATAAATGGAGATAAATACAGAACAATCCTGGAAACAGACCAGCTGGAGCATACAGCCAGAGCTACAATAGAAGGGCTTCGATCAGGGATTCCCAAGCCCAGTCCTCGAGATCTGCTTTTGGATGTTCCAACACACCTGAATTAAATGCCTGAAATCCCTCATTAGCATGTTAGCTCGCTCAATAGGGACCTGGTAAAGACGTATTCATTTGATTCAGGTGTGCTGGAATAGAGATTCATCTAAGCTTTGCAGGATAGTAGCTTTCAAGGACTGGACTTGGGCACCTCTGGCTCAAAGCATATTCATGTGTTAGAATGGGCCTGTCAAAATCCAGACCAAGATCCAAGACTCTGGTGGAGAAACATGAACTTTGATTATTTGATGTCCTTATCACCTGACAAAGGTGGACATATTTTACAAAGCAGAACAAACTAAATATTAATTCTTAGATGTGCGAAGCTGGAAGAAGTATGTTGTTTTAAATGCAGTATAAAATGGCTTTTATAAAGTGTTGATTTAGTGGGGCTAAGTACAAGGGCATGCCACACTTATCAGAATTTGTTTTACACAATTTTTGTAATAGATTTAGAAATTCTTTGATTACTTCACCAATTAAAATATATTTAAGTTTGCAGTTGTAAGATGACAAAATACGAAAAGGTTCAAGGTTTGTGAATTCTTCTGCTGATGTAAATGAAATGGTAATTTGTATCAAATGAATTGGATGTTTTGTTGCCTTTTACCTAAAATGGCTGCTTCAGCCTGTAGAAGGTGAGCCCAATTCCAGCTGTAAAGCTGCATGTAGCTTTGGCCATCACTCTGACTGAAAGTGGGGACTCTGCTCTTGAGCAAGCACTTTGCTTTGTAGAGGGAGGGTTGTGCTGTAGAGAGATAAAATTGATCCAGAACTTTTTGAGTTACTCACAATGCAGCATTCCCCCTCTTCAGACCGTAGGCACTGCAGCATTCCCACTCCTCCACATTGCTGTGAATGTGCTGAACAAAATCTGCCTCCCTTCAAGCTCGCATATTACAACAACAGATCCGGTTAAAATGGGAATTTTGACATCGTTCTGAAGGAATATTCTTTGAAACAAATTGCAGACTACGCGATGTGTTCAAATCCTCCCAGCCCCCAAGAAAAAAAATCACACCGAGGAGACCGTCACGACTCAGTGATTTCGGATTACATTTATATGAAACCTGCATTTGTAGTAGAAATGTACTGTTATGGTTAAAAAACTGGACTTATATGAGATCATGTATCCTAACACAATTAAAAACCTCATTCATCTTTATTTTATTTTACCTTAAATTAATCACACTGCATTAGAAATTAGAATAATTTAGTTAACAAAAATGTCAATGTCAGACAATCTTCTTAAGTACAGTATATATTAAAGGTTTCCATAAACTCATTATGACAAGCTCATCACTTTTTTTTTTAAATCTTTTTTTTTAAATGATTTATTTAAAGTCTCTTTGTTGTGGTGGAATAAGTATATACCATACAAAGTCAGTTGCAAACAATAAATTGCTTGAATATGTTGTGGATAATATAATAAAGTAATGCATACAGTTGAAACCAGAAATGTACGAAGGGGAAATGAAAAGACCGTTTTATTTTTCACTGTCTGCAGTAAAATCAGACCAAATGTGTTTTTGGTCAGTCAGAATTACCAAAGTTATTTCTATTTACTAAATGTCACAATAATGGAAAAAACAATATGTCAGATTTAAATGCTAATCACTCCAATATAAGAAGTTTGCATATAATTATCATTGTCTCTTTAAACAGAAAGGAAAAACTGAGGTGATGATGACATCATGACCTCATTTGTTATTCCTGCTTGTTTGTAGTTTTAAGTTTGCTTTATTATTTTCACATAAGTTGACATTTATGCTCAAGGCTGTGGATGTTTTTCTACTCCTGTGTCTACAGGAGTGGATTTGGAGGATTTTTAATAAAAGAGAGAAACCATATTGTAAAACTATATTTAAAACCTTTGTTGTCCAGAAGGAAATGGTAAATATGTGCATATTTAAGGGAAAATTTGTAATCTAATTAGTGGGGTGCAATGTTGAGACTAAACTTCAGAGAATATCAAAATTCTGAACAGGAAGTACTTTTATTTTGATATTTTTAGCCGCTTTTTCCATGTAAAAAAAAAAAAAGTAATTTGCATTTGTTTTATTCTGAAACAATACAAAGTTATTTATGATGGTTTTCAGTTGTAGAACAGTTTGTTTGTTTTAGTCATTCTAAAGATTTTCTTGCAAATGAAAGTGTACAGTTTGGTGCTGTTTTAGTTTTTGCATCAATAAAATTCAAGTCTAAGTCATCTCAATATTTCCCATTGGTGCATTTTTAGTTAAAATGGCTTTTGTTTTTTTGCCTTCTTTTTAATTATGGTCAGGTTTTACAAAATACATTATAAAATTCTAAGTTATTTGATGCTTTGTTGTTCATCTGACTTTTCATTTGCTTAATTAGTGCAAACCATTTAATCTTTTTAAATTACTTTCTAAAACACAAGGCCTGAAAATCGAATCTTAACTGGCCTGTCGTATGACCCAGCAGCATTAAGACCCATTGATTTCTCCCGCTCTACCATAATGCATAATTAATGTCCAAAATAGGTTTTTCCATCGTGTCTGCATATCCTAGAGAGTTCCTCGCATCTCTCCAGAGGGAGAGACAAGCTTTAAATAATTCAGACGTTCAATCTTTTGAGGTTCACTTAAAGCCGCGTGTGGCACTGGTTGAGCAAATGTCCGCAGCACGGTTAAGAGGCCGGCGTGTTGTTTTTTTACGGAGGATCTTTTTGACACAAACACTGAGAAGACTGTCTGGGCAGCCATAGCCAGCTGCGTCCCTCCTCCTCTGCCCTGGGAAAATAAAGTTGCTCTTTGTCCCTGTGGAACAAGGGACACATGGGGACCCTTGATGTGGTTGAAGAACTGTTTGTGTTTGACTCTTGAAGGAGAAAACACTCCGATTCAGCAGACACACGCCTGCGGTTGCAGACAACCCGCCCTTTTAGAGCTTCAGCAGAGATTCCGATGCTAGCAGAAGAAGAAAAAAAAAAGAAACGGTGCCCCGTTGTTGTGCAGGTTTGGCTCTCGTAACATCTGTGCGCTGAACCCATTCGGCCTGATTCAGTCCTTCAGGAGAAGCTTCACGCTAAACACTCTGTCAGCATCTTTTAAACATGCTCGGTTTAAAAGCATGCTTTCTTCCTGTCCTGCTCCTCTAATTAATCCCGGAGGTGGAAGTATGAGGAAAACAAAGATCTTGCCAGGAGGAGACAGGCGGTGGACGCTTTGGCTTCAGTGAAACCGAAAGGGGGGAAAAAAGCAGAAAAAACACAGGCTTATTTCAGACACGAATTTAGCCCGTTGCTACTAAATTTGCTGAATTATCGAAAACAAAAACAAAACTCCAAAGCCTTCTGCTGTTTAAATAAAGCCATGGTTGTTGCTTTATATAGCTTCCTGAATGTTTCCCACTGTAGGAGATTTATTCCTTCCTGGCCGAGGAGCTGAAGAGTCTTGCTTCTGCACACGGGGAGAGATTGCTTCACACCCCACATAATCCCATATCTCTGGGTGAGCTCAAACTGCTGATCACGAACCAGCATGCCGTCTCCTCGCTGTCGTCTCTTGCTGCAGAATTTATGTTTCTACCCTTTCCGGTTCACCCTTTGTGTGTGTGTTGGGTGTGGCACCTCTGTCCCCTCCGTCAGCCATGTCTCTAGATGGTCTCCAGGCCTCCAGCAACCAGGCGGTGACTCAGCTCGGCTCCATGCTGTTCACCCGACAGGTGTCAGGAGCGAGGTATGAAAACATTCTCACCACTTTATCTATTTTTTTTTTTTTTGGCACTACACCCACAAACTTTGATGAAATTCAGGGTATTTAATCTGACAGAGGTTTTTGTATTCAGATCCCCTTTCCTCTGATACTCCTAAATAAAATCCACTGCGACCTTTTGTCTTCAGATTTGTCTAATTAGTAAGTAGTCGGCATGCGTGTAGCTTAATCTCGATATAAATGCAGCTCTTCTGTGAAGGCCTTTGAGGTTTGTTGGTGAACATTAGTGAAAGAAACTACAGCATCAAAACCAATATTTTGGTTTTGATGTAGTTTTGAATATATCCACAAAGTGATTCGTAAAAAAAACCCCACTTAAGTCCCACAAAAATTCTGCTTTTAATTGGTCTACACATTAATACATTTATGTTTAAAGCTGTAAGGTGACAAACTGGGAGAAAACGGGGGAGTGAAAAGCAAGATACTGTGGAGATTTGTAACACAGAAGTCTGAATTTCTAAATGAATTCAGGATGAGCCAAACGAATGAGGACACTGCCCTGTAGACGCCGCTGATCGGGGTAAATGGATGAGCTGGAACTACTTTAGATGATTAGACGGGCCATTCTATCAGAGCCAGCGCCTAATTTAATGGACCCTTCCTGCTTAAAGTGGAAAGATGTCTGGGAAAGAAAGCATCAACAAAAACACTTCTTGGGAATGTTTACCCATGTCAGAGACGGCGGCCTTGTCTGACCTTGAATAACACGTTACAGTCGCAGAAATGATCGAAGTAGATTCTCCGAATCGATACTTTGAGGGGAAGCTTCTCTGTTCCTTAGCAGAGTTTAGTTTAGAAGATGAGACAAAGGGGTTGAAAGTAGCCTTTGCACTATTACAATAATTAAATGTGTGGTACAGCATTTAATGATTGGTCTTGCTGGTCTTGCATAGCAAATACAAGACCAGCTTGTATTTGCTCATTTATTGCTAGGAAACGCAATCTTTTGGCAAAGTAACGCAAAGGAAAACAATTTCGCCCACAACCTCTAGTGGGCTCCATGCATTCCTACTTTTTGTAAAAGATTTGATCATGTATTTGCTCTTCCGTCCTCGTTTCCAGAGTGATACCGCTGGGTAAGGAGCAGACGATTAGCGGTCACACCTTTCGTGGATTCATGTCGCACTCTGAGTCGTACCGCTGCCCGTACCTCAACGCTGCCTCGGCCGTGGGCATCACCCGAAGCGACGTGACGCTGTGCATGAAGAGGCTGGACAAATGTCTGAAAGCTCTGAAGAAACATGGGCAAACGGCGAGCAGCTGCTCCAGAGAACCTCAGGCCGATCAGGATGCGCCTGATGAAGAATGACTGAGCAGAGGAAGCTACCAAACCTCTTATCTCGTTTGATGCTTTAAGAGACTGGCACGTTTTTGAATGTTTGCTTAAAAAAATCAGAAGATTGATCGTTTCTACAGATTTTATTTATAATTAAAGCTGTTTGCACAGTGACGTCTGAGTCGGTCCCTGTCTCGGATTAAAAAATAAATAAATAAATTTGCGATGCGTTGTGTGGTGTCTTCTGCAGCGAGCTGTAACGTGATCTGAATGCTGCTGTGCTGTTAACTCCATCTGAAGCCTGTTCAGTGGATTAGCCCCCTCTATTTTTAGCCTCGGTAAGAGCTAATCAATGACAGGGGCCCAATCAGAGATCAGCCCTTTGTTTACAGAGGGAAACCTTCAATTTACATCTAAAGAGATCAAGACGTCTTCTGGACCTCAGAGAGTTTTCTTCTCCGATTGAATTTCTGCATCTGGGCTTCATCTTCTGCTGCTCACAAAGGCCAATCACAGGAGATCTTTGCTTTAAAGCAAGAATAAGTCAAAGACCAGCCTCGACTCCATGTGTACTCCCAGATGTTTTCCCACCTGCGCGCTCAGAAATGCGTGTGCAAGCAGAGGCAGCTGCAGAACAACCCCCACCCAGCAGCCTGTGAAAGTGGGCTGGACTCGGGACGGTTATGCTGTCGTATCAGCACATTTCCACACTTCCCAGCTGTACTGAAACATGAACAAAATATAGTGGAAAAACACTGCACAGTGACAGCAGGCTGGTACAATGCAGCAGCCTGAAGAGGGGCTGGAAAAGTTGGGCGGTTGTAGGGGAATCTATTTTAATGTGCTCAGTGGTGCTGCTCTTCAGCATGAAGGAAGAAAAAAAAAGGTGCTTTACCTCTGTTGCCGATATTGTAGCACTGCAGCAGAGCTTGATAGAGCATGTAAGTAATCAATTTGAGATGCACCGCAAATGTGGCCCTGCTTTGATTCCCCGACAAAGGTGAAGCCTGGGGAAGGAGCTCCTCCTTTGGCTACACCTCACAATCAGAGCTCCAACCATCCTCTGGACGTTGCAACATGACAAATTGCTCCTCGGTGTTTACTTTTAGAACCTGCCAGGAGTTCACTGATGATTTACTGCACCATCATCAGAGGTTTCTAAAGAAAAAAAAAAGAAATTGCCAAATAATCTGTTATTTTGCAAAACTGTCCATCACTGACATTTTCTTGCAGACATATTTATGTATATTTGTGCATTTAGGAAAATTTTAATATAAAAAAGCTCAAAATTTGCCAGTCATTTTAGAAAGTTTCTTGTGCAGATTCATTACATATAGCATGGCATGTTCTTGACCTATATTTCTTGTAATTCTTTTGATTGTAGCTTTACAGGTTAATTGCTACACAGCCAATCTGATGACTTGACATATGCCCAGAAGACAGACAATGACACAAAAGCTCATTGCTAAAGAAACTGGTTGTTGAATATGTTTGCTGTATCCAAACATATTCATATAAAGTTAAATGGCAGGAAAAGCTGCACCAGTAACAAGGATAACTGCAGCCTTGAGAGAATTATTAAGCAACATCCATTCAATAATTTGAGGTTGTTGAGGCTGTACTAACAACCTGTTCACATGTGACATTATCTGGTCAACGCAAATGTGTAGCGGCTCTCAGAAACAGCAGCCGCCCAACCAAGTATTTGTTCAGTGAATCACTGGAAAGATGAATCTCCAAGCATCATAATTTGGTTCACACACTCCATGTTTACATTTGTGAAGACAAATGCAGATGAGCTATTTGTCTTTACGCTTTATATCCCTTTTTCCATACTTTATGTAAATTGACGACTCCCTTCATGTTTTGCTTTAAATCAGGATGTTCTGTGTTTACGGTGTATTTTCTGCTGTTTCTCATATAGCCGTACATGATGAGATTTTGTGTAGGTCTAACCTCTGCGTTATGATGAGTAATTGTTCTTTCGTGAGCATCGCCTGCTCTGGGGTCTTCTCTTCTCTTCTCTTCTCTTCTCTTTTCTTCTCCTCTTCTCTTCTCTTCTCTTCTCTTCTCTTCTCTTCTCTTCTCCTCTTCTCTTCTCTTCTCTTCTCTTCTCTTCTCTTCTCCTCTTCTCTTCTCTTTTCTTCTCCTCTTCTCTTCTCTTCTCTTCTCTGCTCTTCTCTTCTCTTCTCTGCTCTTCTCTTCTCTTCTCTGCTCTTCTCTGCTCTTCTCTTCTCTACTCTTCTCTTCTCTGCTCTGCTCTGCTCTGCTCTTGTGTGTTTGCAGGTGCTCCAACTGTGTGTGTGTGTGTGTATGTTGTTTTGCTTGTGTGTGTGTGGGTGTGTGCAGTCAGAGCAAACGATGCATGGATCGACGTCGAGGCGCTGTCCGTGGTGCTGCAACGGTCAGCGATCCAGTCCTGCAGCTGCCACGGTTCTGTACTGGCCAAACATTTCACTAATTAACCCAAAAAAAAAAAAAAAATCCAATAAACATAATTAATGTGCCATTATGTTATAATACATATATATCCAAATTACTTCTAGAATTAAGGTTAAAAGACAAACATATATATATATATATATATATATATATATATATATATATATATATATATATATATATATATATATATATATATATATATATATATATATATATATAGCTGGTCTTTTAACCTTGATTCTGGAAGTAATTTGGATGAATTCGATTATAACATAACATAAAATCCTACACAGAACCCACGTCTTTCTGACACTGACGGTGTTCTGTAGTTGTGGTACATGTGGTTGTTTAACCAACAGTTATAGGTGTGGAGTGCCCTCCTCTCCCTCCGCCTCTGAATAAATAATGAAAGCGAACGGAGAGGGGAAACTGCAGCTGATCTGCTGATGTCAGGCAGCCAGTGCAGCATTTCATGGTGCAGGGTGGAAACGCGCGCTGCCATCTGCCACGATCTCGAGCTTCTTCCTGCAGCCATCCACCTCATCCACCACTGCAGGGGGAAAAAAACTGTTTATTTTTTTTCTTAATTAAAAAAAAATTTATAAAACAAGAACAGCAAAAAAAAAAAAAAAACTTCCCACATGCGAGCCCGACAGGAAAGATGCCGCCAGCTCTCAGGATTTGGGCTCTGCTGTGTGTGTCGCTGTGCAGCCTGTGCCAGCCGGCTCTTCTGAAAAAGGCTTTCCGATGCCCTTCAACATGCAGCTGCTCCAAGGAGTCCATCATATGCGTCGGCTCCTCCAACATCCCGCGGATTGCCCCCAACGAGATCACTTCACTGTAAGTAAAACACTATGCTTATATTTAAAAGACACTAATAGTGATTCCCACGCGCCGTGTCCGCGCGGGACGCTCTGTATGCGCTATACATTCCTTAATTAAAAAAAGAAATCGAGTAATACCGTGCAAGCTTATGTCACTAACGATTTTAATCGATCAAAGAAATCTATCTTGTGCTTGTTTCATCCAGGAGTATCGTCAATGGGACTTTCTCTGACGTCAGAGAGGCGATGTTTGCCCACATGCCCACCCTCCAGCTACTGTAAGAACACCTTCCCTCCCTGTAATAACTCTCAGATTGCGTTCAGCCTTCCACTCAACTGTTCGTTGTGACACATGCAGCGTACAGTAAGGACGCGTCGCGGCATTACGCATAAATGACGCACAGGTTCTGTTGCCACCTGCGTCCCCCTGCGTGTCCAGTAACCCGCGTCTCACTTCAAGCCAGCTCCTGTGATCTCGTTGTAAGGTTTTCCAGCAAGAGAAGCTTTCAGAGTGTGGAAATGAATAATGGAAACCCTCCTGTGTGCATTTAGCGCGGCCCCCATTTCTACGAGGCGCTTTCAAGGGCCCATTAATCTCAGTTGTTGCTCAACTGCAGCGACAGCTTGAATGTCAGCACAAACAGAGAAGAAGCAGATGCACGTTTCCCCAGACTGATGCAGTTTCAGGTGGAAGTTTAGGTAAAGTCATCACTATTCTGCCTCGATGTTTAGTCACTCTTCCTGGCAGATTTTGTAGAGTTTATTCAAACTCAAATTCTTTATTATTATTTTTTTAAATTAAATTCTCATTTGGGGTGAGGTTATTCCATAAAGCTCATGTTAGCCTACTTTAACAATTATAAATCAAGTTTTAATGTGAGTTTGGCATCATTGTCTTGTTAATACACCCAGTTGTGTCCATGTTTTACCTTTTAATCAAGGGCAAATAAACCAACTTAGAGGCAATCTTCATTCTTCATTCCCTTCAGTTTCTGCACCACTAGCAGCAAAGTAGACTCACAGCATGATACTGCCATCACCGTGTTTGACAGTTGGTGGTGGGTAAAGAATTTCAATTGACAAAATGTACGGTGTAGCAAAACGTCTCCTAAAAGTTTTTTTATTGCAAAAATATTACTCAAGTTAATGTAACTGTGTGAATGTAGCTAGTTACTGCCCGCCTCTGATGGTGACACATCCAAACAATTTGTATTTTAATACGAGTGGGGAGAACTCACAATCTCTGTTTCTGTGGTTGTTTAGCATCGGCTTCAAATCTATTGAGTAGTGGATTTTAAAGGGCCCAAATGCAGATAGTTTTGCTCAGACTATGATTCTGAGCAAAACTGTATGTGTTTAATCTTAAAGGACACGTCTTATTGCAACTGTCCACAAAAAGGGCTGTGTTTGATTCATCTCCTGAATTCATATGTATTTTCATAATAAGAAGCGCTGGAACATTGGGTTGGTTCAGATTTGATCATATGTGTTCTTTAATCTGTTCTATCCTGTCTAATATCAATTGCAGACTTTTGAATTCAAACTCCCTAACGACTGTAAGAGATGATGCCTTCTCAGGCCTTCCTCATCTGGAGTACCTGTGAGTTGTTGCGTTGTTAAATTTTTTGGTTCATTAAAAAAAAAAGAGCAAACATGTTGGCAACTTATTACATAATTATATATTTTTATCTTTTTGGACTACCGATATGCCTTAAAATATAAAACATAAAATTATATTTTGATATCAATCAAAAAAGCAGCACAAATGGTAACTTTGGAGGAGCTGCAGATCTCCACAGCTCAGCTGGGAGAATTTGACAACAAGGCAATGATTAATTGTGCATTCCCCATGTCTAGTCGCTATCAGAGTATAGCAAGAAAGAAGTCATTATTGAAAGAAAGCCATTACAAGTATCAGTTTGTTGCCTTCCTGAAATAATAGTCCAAGTCATTTTTTGCCCAAAGTGATTTTGGTAAAAAAATAAAGAAGAAAAAGGCCAATATTTTAGGAGGGTGACAATTTGTAGATTGCCACAAATCATGCAGGGGACAGAAATTTTTTTTTAAGAAAGTCAGATGAGACTAAAACTGAACCGTTTTACCGATATGCAAAATATGATTTGTTGTGACTGTCAGATCTTTTTGTTTTGTAGAAAAATGTAAAATTGGGAATCATTTTCCATCCTACTAGCTTTGATCTGTCACTTCAACAAAATACATGTCTAATAATCTCAAACCATAATCACTGCAACTCATATTTTTGTTCATGATTAATCCACAGGTTCATTGAGAGCAACAAGCTGGAGACTACGTCTAAATATGCCTTCAGAGGACTCAGGGACTTGACTCACTTGTATGTCCCACAGTTGATTGAAACCCTTTTGTGTTTTTACATTTTCTCCTTGCATATCCTGCATGTTCACTCACTGGCAATGTTTTTCAGGTCTCTGGCAAACAACAACATTAAATTCTTACCCAGGGACGTTTTCATTGACCTGGACTCGCTGATAGAGCTGTAAGTTCACTTCCAGGTTTGTGAAAATGCTCTTCTTTGTTGGAGTTTTCTCCTGCAATCATCCGCACTGGTTCTGCTCTGCAGGGACTTGCGAGGCAACGCCTTTGAGTGCGACTGCAGGGCCAAATGGCTCATGATGTGGCTGAAGAGCACCAACGCCACGGTGTCGGATGTCGTGTGTGCCGGACCGGACGACATGAAGGGCAAGCGCCTCAATGACATGAACAGCCTGCACAATGAGTGCATATCGACGGGTGAGTGCCGCCTGAGTCAGCTTCCCTGCTGACGTCGGTGCTGGTCGGATCCGCACTCTCGGAAAAAAATTCTCCTCATGATTTCACCTTTCTGCAGATTTTGTCCTTCATCAGTCCGTGGCCTCTGAGTCTCTGTCAGTTGATACGTTCAGCTTCAAGAATGATGTCTATGTGACTATTGCTGCTCCCAGCTCAGACAGCTGTATGGTTTTACAGTGGGACCACATCGAGATGAACTTCAGGACGTATGATAACATCACAGGTGAGGAAATTCCTTCACCCTGCATCTTTTAATATGGGATTCTGTTGAAACACCATCAGAAGTTGATGTCTTACTTGCAGTAGATGGATCTTTTGCATGTTTTGTTCTCAGAAAGTTTCACACAGGAAGATTATAAGTGGGGCATCTCTTTCCATGTTGCTTTCCAAACATATTTACCTCCCATTTCTCAAATTACAGCCACAAGCATTTGTGTGTTTTATTGGGGTTGTATGTGACAGGCCAACAACATGTAATGCAGAATTACTTGGTAGAAGAATAATGACACAAGGTTTTCAAGATCTTTATTCTGAAGTTTTTTTAGCATGTCACTACCAGAATAGTACAAGCTCAGTCAGCTGAGGTGTAACTGTGAATATCAATTTTTGAGCCTTGCCTCAGTTTCTCGGGGGTATCGGGTTAAAAGGGCTGAATACAAATATAAGTTTATTTATGAATAAAGTTGAAACCATGTTTAATTTTTTTTCCTCTTCACAGTTATACATTTCTCTGTACTGGTCGATCAATGTAAGATCCTGATGAGATACTTTGTAGTTTGTGTTTGATGGATATGAGCAGTTATCTCAAATTCCAGTGCAAATCCTTTCATGTTTTCAGCAGAAATAAAGGCATCTCATGCAAATGTGACAACAGTTTTAAGGTTCTGGTGCATTGTGGGATGCGGTAGAGTAATCTTTGTAAACTATCAGGTCCACTTTAGCTAATTTTGAATTTTAAAAGTTTGTTACAAGTAAACTGATTCATCAACTCATTTGGACTAAAGTAAACAAACTACATGTGTGAAAATGCTCTTAGCTAAGCCATTAGCTCCAGCTTAAGCATCAAATAAGCATCAATCAAAACAAAGGAGGATAGCTTTGAGGGGTAGCTACTGCATGTCGAGTAGTGTAAGTTAAACCATCATTTTAAGAAAATGTCTCACTAATGCCTCGGTTGAGTTTAAAAGTTGTGTTTTTCCTGTGTTCCTCTGTAGGTCAGTCCATTGTTGGTTGCAAGACAGTGATCATCCAGGAAGAAGTTTATGTCATTGTGGCTCAGCTGTTTGGTGGTTCCCACATTTACAAGTTTGATGATGACCAAAGCAGGTTCAACAAGTTCCAGGATACCGAAGTGTCCAAGATCTCCAAACCCAATGACATTGAGGCCTTTCAGATCGGAGCAGACTGGTTCTTTGTCATCGCAGACAGCTCCAAAGCAGGCTTGTCAACCCTCTACAAGTGGAACGATAATGGATTTTACTCATACCAGTCCCTGCACGAGTGGTTCCGTGACACAGACGCAGAGTTCCTCAACCTAGATGGGAAGGCTCACCTAATCTTGGCAAGTCGCTCGCAGGTTCCAGTCATCTACCAGTGGAGCCGTAGCAACCAGAAGTTCATCCTGCAGGGTGACATCCCCAACATGGAGGACGTGGTAGCTGTGAAACACTTCCGGATCAAAGAGGAGCTCTATCTTTCCATGACCCGCTACATCGGTGACTCCAAGGTCCTAAAGTGGGGACCCAAACAGTTTTCAGAGATCCAGGCTGTTCCGTCCCGAGGTTCCATGATCCTGCAACCATTTACATTCAAGGACCGCCACTACCTGGCTCTGGGAAGTGACTATACGTTCTCGCAAATCTACCTGTGGGACGATGAGAAGAAAATCTTTGACCGCTTCAAGGAAGTGTACATCCAAGCACCGCGCTCATTCACCGTGGTCTCCACTGACCGCAGGGACTTTATATTTTCATCGAGCTTCAAGGGAAACACACAGATCTTTGAACACGTCATTATTGACTTGACCTTGTGAGGGGCTGCGGCTTATTGTCTCTCCTATGATCAAATGTCTTCCATTCAAAAGATATATGAATAAAACAAAGGAAAAAGACTTGAAGAAATGGGTAAATTCCAATAGATACATCATCATAACTCATAATAAAGCTTGGTGAGGTATTGACTTGTTCTAAAGACGCCCTTCTGGATTCACCCAAAGCTAAAATGACCTAAAAACTTTTTCTTTCGCTCTTATTTTTGCCAACTGAGGACACAGTAGATATGTTTGCCTCTTTCTTCAGGCCTTCATATATTTTGCTGTCCTTTCAGAGAAGACCTAAAGTGCTCTGATGGGCTAACAGTGCCTCCTCCTGGCCGTGATGGAGTATTTCACCTTTTTTTCCTTACAGGGAATGTCTCAAAAGCACAAACCTTTAACTATCATAGCTGAAATCTTAGAATGTAGCTGAATAGTAGAAATGTTACTGTAGGTGCTATTGATTGTACACAGCAATTTACTACTAATAAAAAAAAATTAGTAAATGGCTGTTTCGGGAGCTAATATTCAGTTTAGGATCTACAGTACAGTCCAAAAGTTTGGACACACCTTTTCATTCAATGAGTTTCCTTTATTTTCATGACTATTGACATTGTAGATTCACACTGAAGGCATCAAACTATGAATTAACACAAGTGGAAATGTGTACTGAAAAAAAAGTGTTAAACAACTGAAAATGCGCCTTATATTGTAGTTTCTTCAAAGTAACAACCTTTTGCTGTGATTACTGCTTTTGCACACACTCTGCATTCTCATGATGAGCTTCAAGAGGTCGTCACCTGAAATGGTTTTCAGGTGTGCCCCGTCAGGTTAGTAAGTGGCTGTCTTGCCTTATAAATAGTCATGAAAATAAAGGAAACCCACTGAATGAGAAGGTTGTGTCCAAACTTTTAATCTGTACTATATCTGATTCTGCTTCAGATTAATTTACTTGTAAAAAAAAGAGTTCTCCAGGGTTTGTGTGCTGATCAGGTAAATTGAGCATATTTTCAATTCTAAAAGTAAAAAAAAAGGTTTTTTGGTTTGTATGGTAAGATTTTTTTGAACCATCTGAAAGAAAAAAAATGTGTGTAAATATGTCCAGTGAAACTAAGAGTTTTTCTTGTTTTTTGTTTTATTTTTCTTTCTTAAAAATTAATATTGACTCCTTACCAGGTGTATATATAATCAGGACTCCAATGCCACTACCTGTTCTTAAGAGTTATTTGCACTTACTAACAAAAATCAGTTGATTCAGCCTGCAAGAGCATGACATTTAAAAAGTCAACTTATTTTTAGACAAACCTGACAAAGACTTCAAATGCTTTTAATAAGATGAATGGCATTGCAAGTAACTAAAAAAATGATGCAAGCTGTTATTCTTTAGTGAGATCTAGTTTGAAACTTACTGAATGTTTCTGTTAAAAACTGCTGTACATTGAATAATGAAATAAAAGTGAAAAGATATTGTAAAGATGTGTGGAAAAAATATTTCCTATCAGCTTATGGTCTCTTAAAGGTGAATTATTATACTTAATAAAAAGTAAAAAAATAGGCATAAAATGGCATTTCAGTTGTTTAAAGCCTCTTAGTGCAGTAAGACTCACCAGCAAGCTTCATACTTGAAGTGGTTATAAGACCCAAATCCAGACATTAGAATGATTAAATAAGTTTAAAACAAAACAAAATTCAGTTCTTGATTTTATTAAGGGTATCTGAGTAAACGGGGTTAGTCACTTTATTGTAAATTATTGTTTCCGGAAGTAAAATATTCAGTACAGTTCATGCAGTTGAAACCAAAAGTTTACATACACATTTTTTCTCACTACTTCTAAACTACTAAATTTCTCTTTAAAAATTTTGAATTATCAAAATTCTTTTGATAAGAAAACTTTGTGAAAACTTGTTTTAGATTATTTCTATCTCTTTTGGCATTTAGCAAGTAGAAATATTTTTCATAATCCTAACTGATCTAAAACAGGAGAAGTTTAATCTAATTCAACTTCAGATGGTGGAAAAAGTTTTTTATGCAGTTTATGTAAACTGGTTTCAACTGGATCTCATTTCACCTCAGATAAATTTACCTGAATGGAGAGTTTGTTTCGTCTTTAGAGTAAGTGTTGATCAGGCAAAATCTATATACATTTTTCCAGTCAAAAAAGGAGGATGCATCATAAATGACGAGAACAAAAAGATAATTTTCAAGAAAAAAGCATAATTTATTGTCATTGTCCAAGAGCAAAATACTAAACAGCTATAGATAATTCATAATAATAAAAAAGCTAAAATACTGAAAACACTTTGATGTTGAACAGTAAACCAACCCAGTGAAGGCAAAGTGAAAGATCTAAATGAAACTAAAATACACAATCAAAAATGGCAAAACTCAAAACTTGTGGCTGTTTTAGAAAAAACAGAGCCAAAAGTGTTTATGGTAAAGCTTATTTGAAAACTTATCACATAAGGCAAACAATGGCATATATATAAAAAAAAAAAGGAGAGAAACACTTTTTAAAAGCATCCAACATTTTTGGAACATTGTTTTTTTTTTTTTTTTTAAAACAAAACTGTTAAACATACAAGTTTAGGAACCTACAATCAATACAAGGTAATACAAGAGAATCCCTTAAAAATATATATTCAAATAAGGTTCCTTTATTTTTCTAATTTTCTATATGCAGACTCATGATGAAAATAAAAATAGAGAAAATAGACTAAATCCAATAAAGTAGATGAGATATTTTAGTTAGCATTGCATTGAAAATATATAACTTGTGAAATCACAAACATTTCTGCATTCTGAAGAAATCAAATAATGAGAAGTAAATGTTGATGCCCAGATAAACAACATGACGTATAAAACATAATAATCTTTGGTTTTAACATATCTCATTTCTGGACAGTAATGATATAATAATGAAGGCTTTATCAAGCTCATGTGGAAAGAAGAAAGGCATGAATTAAAAATCAGCAACAGACAAGTCTGAAGTACAGATCGAGATGACACTGGCAATCACCATATATAAAGTCCTCACAGATGCATAAAAACATTTAGTCTATTATTTAAGAAACTCAAAACAAAAATCAAACCTCATTTACATGTTAATGAGGTCTTCCAATGCATTTGTGTTTGTAAAAACATGTTCAAAGCTAATCAAGTAATGGATTGTTACATGGCATAATAACTGAATTGATAATATTAGTATAAAGATTGGACATGTGAACTGAATGTCTTGCATAAGGCTCAGTCATTTCTTTGTGTTTCTTTGCCTTTCTGAATTTGAATTCAATCCAAGTTACTGGGTTGAGAGTCCTGAACTGAAACCCCCAGCTGCTCCTCAGTGTTTGGGGATGGCATCACAAAGATGCTGCGCGAGTCTTCACTCTGAAACATTTCATTCAGTGGGACCTGTTGATTCCACCCTTTGTCTTTAGCGAACTTGAAGACGCATCCAAATAGATCAGGAAATAATTCAAGGACATTAGTTTTGGAAGCATCTTCAGCACTGTGAACATGGAGAAAATTTTAACTGAGTAAGTATCTAATTAAATGTATTACATCACAATTAATAGCTGTTTATGTTGTTCTTATTCTAACAACTTTTCTGTTTATGTTGCAGCTCCTGCTAATATTACGCAACATCAAATAATGTCTGAGTCATTGATGCATAACGTCACTCATACATGCAAATGTAAAACAATAATGAACGCAAAAGAACGTGGATCTTTACTAATTTAATGAGTCTTTGCACCTAAAGGGAGGTCGAGAGAATATTTGTATCAGCTTAACTTACTAGTGCTCAAGCATATTGCGTATGAAACGCAGCAATCCCAGAATGTTCTCAGGGTAGGTTTTTTTCTTGCCATCCATCTTTTGAACCAGTTCTTGTGGAAACTTAAGAAAGAAAGGTAAGAAAAACAGAAAAGATGGCATAAATGTTCTGTCTTCACATGGATTTATTTTCTCATAAATTTGCACATTCTCAAATCACAACATCCAACATTGA